CCGGGTGTTCCCCGCCTCCCTCCCCCTGACCCATCCGATGGGGTTGTCCCAGTGCCGACGGCATCTTGGCCTCTGCTTGTCAGCCAGTTGCTCCCCAGCCCCGGGTTCCAGGCACCGGGGACTCTCCTCTGGGTTTTAAAGCACGTGGGTCAGTGCCCTCTGTGGTTACACAACTGGAAACAAGCACGGGTAGAGCCCGTTTCGCCTGCCCGTGTTAACAAATCCAGTTTGTACAGGTATTAACGCCATTTCTCCAGGCTTGCGACAGGCTACATAACGAAAGCAAAGCTTATTGCAGCGCAGACCTTGTAACCTGTTACCAATTAAAAGACCCGCAGCCACTCCAGACAGAAAAAAATAAAAAAAAGAAAATGAAGCAATTGCCAACATCGTCTGAACCCGACGCTTCCAGACACCTGGAAACGCTCCCGATTCGTACGCGGGTCGGGATGGGAATGTATCCGAAAGCCAGTGAATCGGAGGGCGCCCAAAATCTCCAGGTGGCCACTCAAAAAGAACCCCCCCGAGCCTGCAGGGACCATATTGAGACGAGCATTTCCCAGCTGTGGGTGTTCGACCGCGGGTGGATTCCTGCCGCCAAGGGGACGCGCCCAAGCTGGCGACCGTCTCTGCGAGGGGACACGTATGAGAACATCTCTCACGGTAGTTTGGCAGGTACAAAGGATAAAGCAAAGAACACCCTTCCCAAGGATGAGGGGTGGTACCACCCCAAGGCACGGAACTGCAGGAAACTCTTCTGATGCCGACAGATGTTCAGGGAAAGGTCGGTCGCCCTGAGCCCTGAACGAGGAGAAGTGAGCCCGCTCCAGCTCAGCCAACGTAAAGATCACAAATCGGGATCTGAGCTCGGCAAGGCCTCGCCTCCTTCAGAGAACACCAGCTACAGAGCACAAAACTCCAACCAGCCACCTCAGGAAATAAATACAACTCACCAAAACGGGACGTGCACTGGTACTGGACATGTTGGGGGTCTCAAAAGTGTTCAGGGGCCGGGTTTGGGACCAGGCACGGGGCTGGTGTTCATCTGCCTGAGGGCAGGCAGGACCGAAAGCTTTCAGCTTCCGCTGGGGAACAAAAAGGTACCAAAACATACCTCGAATGAGAAGTTATTTCAGCCTAAACCTAAAGATTTTGTGCTGGTTAATACCGTACACGTATTAAACGAAAAAGTTTAGCTGAGGTTACAACCGTGCTTTACGATCCTTCTCCCTTGAGTGAGGGAGAGGAGAATTCACAGACCGGAACCCTTCACCTCCCACCGATTTTTGCACGCTTCCTCCGCAGGAGCGCGCCCCCAGTGTGAAATTCTCCTCAGTGGCGCTCTTTTAATGCAAAATACGGTGACTGGGGTCACTCCCAGCTGGCAGAGGAAGGCTCGCTACCTCTTACGCTCTGCCTTTGCATCCTCGTACCCCTTTCTACCCAAAAGGACGCTCCGACCTTGCAACACAGCTGGGTGACATTTTCACTTCTGCTTCCTGTTTAACCAGATTCTTAAACCTGCAGATAGTACGGGGAGAGCAGTCAAGGCCGGGGTTATTTTTATAGGGCCATTCTCAACTACAGCATCCCCAGAAGAATTTGTTTCCCCCGTGACGCATGTCCCGATGTGATTTGCAAACGGCGAAGTTCACACGAGGGGCTCATTCCTCAGAGGAAAGTCCAGCGGGGAGGACGGTCCGTCTTGCTCCAGAAGACGATCTCCTCCGGCAGCAGTTCGGCAGCTCACGTCAGGTACTGCACGACGAGGAACATCACCAGGCAAGTCAAAACCATTCCGCCAATCATGAAGTATTTGTCCTGGAAGGCTCGCTTCTCGATCAGCCGCATGACGGTGTTGGATAAGCCCAGCATGTTGGCAACATCCAGGATCTTCTTGTGAGTGCCCTGAGAATGAAAAACAGCGAAGAAACGGTTAAAACCTCGTGGTACGACACTTCTTACTCCACAGTCCAAGAATATTTCATCACGGGTGGCAAGATGGAACCTGCTACCGGCCAACAGCTCCCACGATTTAAGTAGAGATGGCCACAGGACCCTGAAATTACTTGGATGATGTGACTAAATTCATCCACATGAACAGGAATGTGGTTAAAGATACGAAATGATCCATCCAGAGACACCAGAAAGAGCGGGTCAGAGAAAATGCACTCCCTACAGAGGCACTAAGAGGGTTTCTTCAGACACAGTCTAATAAACGCTTGAAGCTCCTTGGTCAGAGAGCCTTCCCTGCAGAACCCGCCTCCTGCCGAAGCACCAGTCGTGCAAAAAAATAAGAAAACTGAAAAGGAGGTCCAGAAACTTGTAAGGTTAGTGGTAGGGAGCAATGGAAAGGCACATAAAAGCATAATTAATGTAACTTCAGGAAATCCTTCCGGAGAAAAGCACTGAAGAGTGTTCCGGCGTGGAAGCTGTCGGTGTTGTCGAGGACGTGGATCCCCCCAGTTGCCGCAAGAGCAGCAAAGGACGCGGCAGAGACACGGCGAGCTGGGGGAGTCACCCCCCGCAGCGCAGCAGGAACGCCCCTTCCTTACTTCAAAGGTCAAAGGAAACGGCCCAAAATCCAAGCCCACAGATGCGCTCTGGGCACACTTGCGAGCTGCAGATCTTCCCGCCCTGCTGCAGAACTCAGGAAGTCTGCAGTTATTCCTTCTCTGAGCAAGATCCCCATCGAAACGCTCTGCTACCACGGTTTCACCTCCTGATCAAAACTCCAGCTTCCATCCTCGCAGCCCACTGCATCTTCGGTCTCAGAAGAACAACAAGGGGACACCTGGGAATTGTTTTGAATACAAACCCGCCTTTCGATCAGAAAAGCTCTTCAAAGACCAAATTTGTATGAACTATGTAAGGCTGGACACACACCTTCTCAATCCATAAAACGCACAGATGTGCAAGACTAAATTAGATGAGTATTTTCTGCAGAAGGCCCTCTGCAGAAATCAGGTTTTTGAAAAGACAGCCACGTTTTTCACCTCCATTTCACACACCCCGCATTGAGCCCCTGGATCCTGCGCTTTCAAATGCAGCACTTCTCCTCTGCAGCGATCTTTTCACACTACTACAAAATGAAAGAAAACCTCGCTCGGCAACGAGGAACCAAATATAAAGCTTTAAACCGAAAGCAAACGATAGGAAAGTAAAGACCCTTCAATTCCTGCCATTGGTGAAACAGTGGGATTTTACCAGAATGGTTAAAGCCCTGCGACAATTTGGGAACACTTTGCTCACACCCATCTATTTACATCCCAGACCCAAGAAGTCACCTGGAATTACTTGCCTCCGAACCTGATCCGTGCAGTGGGCTCCGTGCCAGCTGCTTCTGCCAGCTTTGGGAAGCGGCACAGCGTAACAAAAGCTAAGCTCAGGGGACAAGGAGCACGAACAGACGTTTCCTCACCTGTGAGTGACAAGAAATACCTGCCCTGCACAACAGAAGCACACGATGCTCCCAGAAGAACAGACCGTCGGTGGGCAGAGACACACGAACAGCTTGACTGTGACACTTCTGACCTGAAGGAAGCCTGACGTGCTACGAGCTGGCAGCTGAGACGAGCCACGCTGACAGCTGCAGGACCACGGTGATCTAAAAGGAGTTCAGGTACCTCCTGCCATCAGCCAGCAAAAGTGAGACAGGACTATCGACCACAAGAAGAGACATTTCATGTCAATCTCTTAGAGGCAGCAGGTCCTGCAGGTGTTCCTCTACCCTATTTGCCTGCTGTGCTTAAGTTCTCCTGACCTGTGGTTTCAGGAACTCTCCAGAACCAAGTGCTTCAGCCTCTTGCCAGAAATTGTCTTGCCTCAGTGACTTGGTAGAATCACAAACTCGAATTCCCAGTGTGAAGCCCGGGTACGCTTGTGCACTTCGATGGCTGGGTGCGCCGCACTGAGCCGATGAGATCAGCCACCAAAGCCACCCAGAGCTGAGCAGAGAGGACAAACATCCTGCGATGGTCCTGTCCGGCGCTTCGGGAACACCGGGTAGCCTGGACCTCTGCGATCTGGGAAGGACCCGGCTTGTGAATCGCAATAGAGGCCAAAGAAGCACCTAGAAACTCTGCCCGGTGAGGGCACCCAGCTCCGGGAACTCCCAGGAAATGGGTCCTACAGGTACTGAAAGCTGCTCCAGAACAACACCTGCGCTCTGTAAGGGTGAGACCCACGGTTGTGCGGAGGTCAGCTCTCTCCACAGGAGCTGCACAGCCCGTGCAGCCGGTGAAAGCTCAGGCTGCAACCCACGGAGCATCCAACCAGCTGCAGGGATTCCTGTCAGCAAATAAAAATGCCTAAATCCTCTGGCAGACACATCCCAAACCAAAGCAATATCAGCAGTTGTGCTCATGAGAGGATGAGAGAAATAGAGAGAGGCATTTCCCCACGTTTCTCACAACTCCATCTTTCCTCCCCAACAGTGGCTTCTTATTAAAAAAGCTTTCTGTATCCCTGAGCTCTTTGCTCAAAATTTAAGTTTTTCAAATAAAAGACAGATCTTTGCTATTAAGAGACAGGAAGAAATAGAGTTGCCACTTTGCAGTACTTAGGAAAGGGCGTATCTCTGTACGTTAGACCCAAGAATTATCGTTACTACTCAAATACAAGTGTTTTACGTCAGCTTTGGGGTTGCTCTGAGCGATGTTCACCTGAACCAACACCTACCTGTGAGCTAGCCATCGCCCCCAGTTCTTTGCTTCAGCAAAAGAAAAAGCAAATAACTCAACAAAACAAATAAAACCAAACCAGAAGGGAACCAAACATAACATTCAGTGCTCCGGATACCAACTATGAGGCCACCCAGCCGCAAAAAAAAAGGCTTAAAAATGTTCCTAGTGAGATGATAAAATGTAAAGATTTCAGGTTCAGTTCAAACAGGAGTTTGAACGCAGCCTCCTCAGCACACCGAAACGAACACGGGCGTTTCTTTCACTCAGCCTGGACATTATCCACGCACAAGAACATGGGGTCTTGGGTTTTTTTGGTAAGAAACGATGCCCCCACCTTTAATGTCACTCTCTGGTCCCTCAGCCCCTGCAGGATGTTGGTGCCACTGCCAATAAGATCGTCCATGCCACGATGGGCATTCTGGAGGGATTCATTAAACTGTAAAGTTTCGTCGATCGGGATGGTGGTGTCCGAGTCCTGTGGGGGAAACGCAGGGACTCGGTTACCTTGCCTGCTCACTCAGAAGAAGAACATGCAGAAACAAATGTGGCAAAAATCTCTAAGGATTAGGTTTTAAAGCAATTTTTTTTTTCCAGCAAGGGCATTAAATATAACATTAATATTTTGAGTGGAAAAAGGAATTTAAGAGAAGCCTACGGGAAGCAAGATGAAAGGGAAAGCTGTGCTGCTGCAATTACATCTCCAAGGATTAAAAAAAGTCAGATTAAAAGT